AATTCTGCTCTCTTCTACAAACCACCTGTTATTTTCCCAGTTCCTACCTCCCACTACCTCAAAACTGACCTATCAGTGATGCTCAAAATCAATTGGGTAAGTGTGAGTCCTCACATTTCCCCTGAGCCTACCAAAGAAACATTCTTCCATAAACAATATGTACATGATTAAAAACTGCATGACAGAAAAAAAAAATAGGGGAAAGATACAAAATAAATTTAAAGGACAGGCTAGTTTGTTAAGAATGGAGAGGCTAGAAAGCATAATACTGAAAAATACAGAGCAAAGATATTGGGCTTTCTCCTTCAGGCTCTTTGGAGCCTTGGAATGTTGTTGAGCAGTAAAGTGACATACCTGACTTTTGAGGAAGATGAGGCTAATGGAAATGTGCGGCATAGGCTGCAGGGGATGGCTGCTGGCACAAAGAGCCCAAAGGAGGATATTGCAGCAGTGAAGGTAACAAAAAATGACCAAATCAGGAAGGAGCCAGTGGAGATTATGGTTTGCAAAGGAACTTTAATAGAAAAATCAATAGGACTTTGTTCACCCAGCCATGGTTATCCAGTTCTACTTCCCAGTAACATGACCTGAGATGACTAAATAACTGCTCCACACAGTTGTTTTATCTATAAAATGTAGATGAAAAATATTTTCTGTGTATGAAAATTATCACCTAAGAATTATACTTTCCCTCTCTTTTATTATTCTCATTGCCTCCTGTTTTTTGTTTTTTAATTCAGACATCTCCCAAACTCTCCTGAGATGACAACATGACCAAAGATCATGCTGGTAGAAAACATCAAAGTATTTGAGGAAGTCAAGATGTGCTAATGAAACTTCTGACAGATACATATGGTGTCGCTCATTATAAATTATGTTATATCATTTCAAAGGTCACTTCCACCATACCAGCTAAAGTAAGTGGTCTGCAAAAGGAGGTTAAATACTTGAATGTTTCACAAGAAAAGTTTGTCTTGTAAAACTGACTAGAGAGATAAGAATCAAAGAATGAGGAGGAGCAGAAAAAAAAAATAGGGGAAAGAGAAGGGAGAAATAGGAAGGAGATGAGTAATGAATTGATGAGCTCCATTAAGCGCCTTACTAGATGGATGCTACGTATGCATTATCTCATATAGTCCTCTCAACAACCCTAAAGGTAGGACCTATCATTTTACTTGTTTTACAGATGATGAATTCAAAACTATACCAAGTCAAATAACTTGCCCAAGGTAAAAGAGTTATGAAAGAAGGAATCCAAAGTTCTAAGCCTCTTCCCAAGAATTTTATAGTTCCACAGAACACAGAAGCTAAATATGTGCCACAAATGAAGAAATAAGACATGACATGGAATCAAGGTCCATGTGATATCTTATGGTAGTTTTCCAAACTTATTCACTCCTGGTCTGCCCTTCTCATGCTTACCAGTGGGCAGAGTGTTTTGTTCACCCAATGTCTTCAAAGGCTGTTCCTTCAGTCTGAAAGAGAAGACGTGGTACTAACAGAGCAAGAAGATCCAAAGTTAACCTTCAGCCGTTAGGAACAAGAAGTAATTGGGCATTATTTTAAGTCACTCAGATGTTGGGATTGTTTGTTCCTGAAGCAAAAGCCGACTATGTAGACTGCAGTGTGCAATGCTGCTACAGGCAGTCAGGTTTCCTCAGGTTACCAGCTCTCAATAAGGGAGCAGGAAGAATAGAAATTCATTGGATTAGACAAAGGGTAATGAAGGAAAGGGAGCGGGAGATGGGAATAGGAAAGTCAGTAGAATGAATCAAACATAACTCTCCTTTGTTCATATATAAATAATCGCCCAGTGTAACTCCACATGATGTTCAACTACCAGAATGGGGTCCTAGTTAGAATAAGTTATACTCCATGTATGTATAATATGTCAAAATACATTCTACTGTCGTATATATCTAAAGAGAACAAATTAAGAAAGTCATCCAATTTATAGAAGATTATCCAAAATGTTTTACAGGCAAATGCAGCAGACCCACCATTCCCTCCAGGCCTTAGGGATGACTTTGGTGCCAATAGGCAAGAATACAATTTGCAGAATCATAGAAATCCACAAACAGATTGGTTCTACAGAAAATGTGGCCTCATAGTCAGGGTAAAGTGGACTTAAGATTTCCAAGGATTCACTTAGGTTAGAGAAGTGCTGCTTGTCGAACAAATGCCAGTGACTGTGTAGATGCCACAGCTCCAAAGCCACACAGTCAGCCCACAGCACTGGTCTATGCTGGTGAAGACACAATTCTTTCAGCTCCAGGGTCTCTGGGGGTATCTCTGGAACATGAGGGGGATGTCACTATTTAAACTGGAGAGAGAGAATAATTCAGCAAAGTCATACCATTGAACATGTTGAATATCCCTATTCTTTCCTTCAGATCTCCTGGCAGGTGTTTTTGACAAAAGCAGTATTTCTTCCCCTAAAACACTTGACATTCTTGCTTGCTCTAGGGAATCCATAAGGCTGCCTCTGTCTGTTCATGGATTTACTAATCCGATGTTGCATCAGTATTCCACCTTATGATCAATAAGTAGAAGTGGGGCCTGTCCATTGAGGTTGACTTCATTTCTAAAATGCTCTAGAATTGGTCGAAAGCAAAAGCAAATGCAAGGAAAACTGAGAGCTCATATGAAACAAAGTAAGAATACAAGAAATAAGGCACCATAAGTGAAGAAGCAGAACAACTAACACAAAAAGAGATTTGCAAGAGTTCAGACACTTAAATTCTTAAATAAAATACAAATAACCATGATTCCCATGTTAAAGAAACCAAATTGAAGGCTGCTTTCAGGAGAAATCTGTTTTGTTGGCACTAATCATCTTTCATTGCAATTCAATGAGTACATCAAGTAATGTGATAAACAAACTGCTGAGAGCTAGAATGCAGAGGAAAGGTATGCAGTCTGTGCTGAGTGAAATACAGTATTGCGATAACTCTATTTATAAGATCTTGGTGGGTGTTGAAAGAACCTGTCCATCACAAAATCCTACCATTGGGCTGACAAGACTTGAAGGCCTTAAGACATTAGGGCTTGAGAAAATTGATGCCCTCTTGTGCTGCCTGTGGGAGTATGAATTGGTACAACCTTCCACAAGGGCCACTCTGAAAAATCGAAAGCTGAAAAACAAACTCTCTGACCAAATAGTTCTCTTATAGGAATGTATTCTAATGAATCCACTAAGAAGGCATGCCAATATTTGGCTATGAAATCAGAAGCAGAATAAATATTATTTTTAAAAAGAGGATTATTAAAGTAATGATGCACATCCAAGGGAAAGGTAAGACTGGTATACTTTTAAAATTTTTCCTGATATAGGGGACTGAACCCAGAATCTAGCACATTCTCTACCACTAAGCTATATCTCCAGCTTGGCTTTTACTTATTAATTTCTTTTAAAATTTAGATATAAATTTATTAAATGTATAACTTTAGGCTACTTAATTTAACCTTTAGAAACCTCCATTTTCTTATTTAAGTGAAAATGATATCTACACTGAAGCATTGTTCCAAGAATAAATGGGATAAAATATACAAAGTGATTAGTTCATGTTTGCTACATATTCAATTAATATATGGCAGCTATTTTTCTATATTAAGTTTTTCTTATATTTACAATAGCAGAAAGGAAAAAAATAAAGTTAAATCTACTATTGTCAGCAGGGTTCAGTGGCTCGGGAGGCTGAGGCAGGAGGATTGTGAGTTCAAAGACAGCCTCAGCGAAAGAGAGGCATAAGCAACTCAGTGAGATCCTGTCTCTAAATAAAATACAAACAATAGCTGGGGATGTGGCTTAGTGGTTGAGTGCCCCTGAGTTCCATCCCCTGTACCAAAAAGACAAAACCTACTATTGTCAAAAATCCTGAAAAGTCTAAAAGAACAAATGCTATCACTGCTCTATAGTCTAATATCATTTACTATTACCACATACAAAGCCTATCTGCTTCCACTATCCTTCTACAAAAATAGTTCACATAAGCAGGAACCTTAGGATAGTATGCTTTTTCTCAAATCCTTGGGCGGTCAGAGTTATGAGGTGGTAGACTGCATAGGGAATCCTCAGAACAAAATCTGAAGTAGCTGGGTATGGCAGCCCTCTTCTGGGGACATAAGAAAATGCAACCAAGGCCAGGGGTGTAGTTCTGTGGTCCAGAACTGTTTTTAGCATGTAAAATACCCTGGGTTCAGTCCCCAGCACAGGAAAGGGAAAGGAGGGATGGAGCAGGGCAGACAGGGAAGGAGGCAGACAGGCAACCATTCCAAAGGATCTTGATGGATTGTCATTTGCATATAGTGGACACTTAAAAGTATGCTGAATGAGTGGTCTGGCTTCAATCTTACAAAAGCTGAGTTCATTTTTACTTATCCTGCAGAATGTAAAAACATAGTTATAAAAGTAAATGATATACTGATAGGCTGTTACAGGTTTAAAATTAAAATAATGAAATCTTGAAGCTAAATAGCCAAATATTTACCTTTATAAATATTGAGTGTTTAGGGCTGGGGTTGTGGCTCAGTGGTAGAGTGCTTGCCTAGCATGTGAGGCACTAGGTTCCATCCTCAGCACCATATAAAAATAAATAAACATAATAAAGGTATTGTGTCCAACTACAAAAAAAAAAATTTTTAAAAATTGAGTGTTTAAAAGTCTCAGGTTTCTCATTTGTAAATCTCAGAGTAATAGTACCTCATAAGGTGATTTTGAAAATAAAGTGAACAAAGGCAGTTATTTGCCACAGTGTTTAGCAGACAACAAATGCTTAATAAATGAGGCCAAAGAGGGATGGAGGAGGAAAAAAAATGAGGCCATTATTTTCGGTTTTTACATTTCATAATCCTTGCAATAATCATTTTACTTTATACAATCTTCTCAAATGTTTACAAAAATGGACTCTAAGGAATCTTAGAGATTACCTCTAAAAAATATATACATGTAATTTTAAAAAGAATGATACATGCCTAAAAAAGAAAACATGAAAACCTTGTAAACTTTAAGATTTGTTCACCAAAAATTTTTTTATTAAGAGGCTAAGTTCTATATAGGTGGCTCAACATTTTCAGGTAACTTAAGAGCCTGAGAGGCCCTGAACAATCCAGATGCCCACAACACAGACATGTATACAGTAAATGACTATGTTTCTGATCCTTAAATGAGACTTCTGTGACTTCCCTTTGCCAGATAAATAAAACATATCTTTCAAAGTTAACACAACTTCAGAAATTCACAAATTCTTAGTTCTCCAAGTTTTTTAAACCCCAAATCAAAAGCCTTCATTTGAACCAACACTGAGAAAAAGAGCAATGAAAAGAAGCTCTTTTATTCATTACAGAGCAAAAATACAGACTGTATTTACTAATTTGTTTTCCACTTGGGAGAATACACTTTATATTTAAACAAATAAACAATTAGTTGTCAGGAGTTGCTTTTGGTGAATGATCAATAAGTGCCTTGTCAGGAGTTGGATATTGATACCAGGGCCCATCGCCTCTCTCACGCATTAGTCTTCGAACTTCCAGCTCCTTTAACCTGTAACAAATGGAAAAACAATACTGTGATTCCAGCTTTCCAATTACAAGGAGAATTTTTTTTTTATACTGGGGATTGAACCCAGGGGCACATTACAACTGAGTTATATCCCCAACCTTTTTCAATTTTTATTTTGAGACAGAGTCTTGTTAAGTTGAAGGGCTTGCTAAATTGCTGAGGATGGCTTTGAACTTTCAATCCTTCCGAATCACCTGGATTACAGGTATGTGCCATTGTGCCTGGTTCCAATTACCAATTTAATGTATCAGTTCCATAAAGAACCACTAGAAAGTTTATGTACACAGATCATGACTAAGGCACACTTATAGTAAGTATCCCAAAGCAAAATTTAGGACTTATTCTTTACTTTTATCTTGCTTATATACTTAGTCATTGAATAGTTTTGGCATCTAAATATTATTTGAATTGATGATTAATTCTATCCTTTACTATCCCCGATCTTTGTCTGGACAGATAATTTTCAACTGAATTGTGACAATGCTTTCCTGTCTTTCCATCTTTTAGGTGCAAGGAGTCATTAATGCAACACCTACTGTTGTGATCCTATGCTATTTTGAGTATTAGGAAAATTATATGCTTTTCTAGAGGAGCTCATATTCTGTCTGTATTGGCTGTTCATCATTATTGCACAGAAAATTTGAGGGCAGAAAATCATATTCACCAGCATCATACTGTGCCCAGTTAATGGTAGATCCTTAGTCAATATTTGTAAAGAAAAAAAGAAAGAAAGTAGGTTAGTTAGTTGGACACAGTGGCATGAACATGTAGTTCCAGTTCCTGGGGTGAGGAGGTCTAAGGCAAAAGGATCACTTAAGCCCAGGAGTTTTGAGGCCAACCTAAGCAACTGTGAGACCCCATCCCCGGAAGATAAGAGAGAGAAGGAGACAGACAGAGAGAGATCTCTCTTAAAAGAAGCATTCTTCAACTCTAAGATCTACTCTGTCCTCAACCTTCCTCACAAATTGAATAATTTCTATTTTGCAAAGATGCTCTACTCCTCTTCCATATTCAAAATCTGCATAAACTTCTACCTGAAGCAATCCCTTCTCCATTAAACCTTTTACATTCCATTTTAATAGAACATACACAGATCACTTTTCACATGACTGGAAATTCACCACAGTTAAATGATAAGTACACTTTATCAACAATAACAAGCTCACCGATTTTATATAAAGAGACAACGTACCTTTGCAACTGTGTACTTATAAGACTATGTCTATTCATCTTTTTTTAAGGATTAAATACCATCATCTTTTTTTAAGGGTTAAATATCATCCTTTAGAATGCAATTATCTAAAATGTAAGTAATTAAAATGGTCACCAACAGGGGACTAAATAGTAAAATAAGTTATGGCTTATCTACATAATGGATTACCACGTAATACTAAAAAGAATAAGGAGAATCTATACATAGTAATGTGGGAACAGATGATAAATATATTGTTAGGTTAAAAATGCAACATATAGGAGCTGGGAATATAGCTCAGTTGGTACAGTGCTTGCCTTGCATGCACAAAGCCCTAGATTGGACCCCCAGCACCACCAAAAAGAAAAGGAAAAACAAAAAACAAAACAAAAAAGCAAGATACAAAATGAGTATATGTAGCACTTTCCCATTTCATTAAAAAGTGGTAAATAACCATTTGTGAATCTGAATAAATACACATGCATATAGCATTAAAAACTGTAAAGGACAGCAAGACGCAGAGGCACATGCCTATAATCCCAGTGAGCTGAGAGGCTGAGACAAGAGGATTCCAAGTTCGAGGCCAGCCTTATCAATTTAGCAAGTCCCTAAGAAACTTAGTGAGACCCTGTATCAAAATAAAAGGTCTGGGGACGTGATTAAGTGCCCCTGTGTTCAATTCCTGGTACACAAAAACCTATGAAGAACTAAAAATAACAGTTATCTCTGGAGGAGTCAACTATGGGAGACATCTCTTTCTATTTTATTTCTTTTCCTGTTTCAGTTTTTTAAATATCTAAATGCATACTTTTTAAAACCCCACATTCCGCTGGGTGTGGTGGTACATGCCTATAATCCCAGTGGCTTAAGAAGCTGAGGCAGGAGGATCACAAGTTCAAAGCCAGCCTCAGCAATTTAGTGAGGCCTAAATAATTTGGTGAGCCCCTGTTTCAAAATAAAACATAAAATGGGCTGGTGATGTGACTTAGTGGTTAAGCACCCCTGAGTTCAATCCCCAATACCAAAACAAGCAAAAACAAAAACACACCCCCAACACACACACACACACACATTCCATCATCATATCAGCATCTTTCCTTTAGGGGTACAAGTCAGAATTTTGGTTGGTTTGTTTTTTCTTTGTTTTGTTCTGTAACTGTTTAGGATCTCTATATGTCTGAGGAATTCTAGGGTCTGATCATTTAATTGGAACTCTAAGGTATGTGTCTGAAGTTCAAAAACATCTTTCTAACATTACTAAAAATAAACCATATTGCTGTTCTATGCTCTTAAGTACTGAAAGATAGTTCCATATGGTAACTACATATTCAGGAAACAGCCAATCACATTTTTTCACTGCTTAAATATTTTTCAACATCATAGAAATTTTTATAAACTATAAAATTTAAAACAGAATAAACAGAAAGACCAATGGTAGCCTGAGGCCAAAATAAAGGATGGAGAGTCACTAGCATGGATGAAGAAGCACACAAAAACATTTTAGGATGATCAAAAGATCTGGATTGTGGTAGTAGATACAAAGGTATATGCTTTTTTTTTAAACAATTTTTTATATTTATTTTTTAGTTGAAGTTGGACACAATACTTTTATTTTATTTATTTATATGTGGTGCTGAGGATTGAACCCAGGGCCTCACATGTGATAGGCGAGTGCTCTACCACTGAGCCACAACCCCAGCCCCAAAGGTATATGCTTTTCCAAAAACCCACTGAAGTTAACTGGTGATTTGATTGCTTGTCAATTTTATCTCACTCTTAACACAAAAGAACGTGTGTGTGTGTGTGTGTGTGTGTGTGTGTGTGTGTGTAACTGTGGTGCTGGTGAACAAATTCAAAGCTTCACTGAACTGTTCTCCAGTCCCCAAAAAAACATTTTAAGAAGTAATTCTCATATTATATATTTACTTATTTAATTCACACATGACCAAGACCTTAAAAACTAAAGGACAAACATGACAATAATTAAATGAATAAATACACAGAAAGTAACTATAACATTGTTATATAGTAAGTATTAAAAACCATACATATTTGTTATCTGAAACATATACTGCTATATTACAAATAATTTTTCACTGCCAAAAGACAGATGACAAACTGAGAAAATATATCTGCAACAAAATAAAGAGGGACTAATTTAACTGATGTATAAATCAGTTAATATCAGTAGAAAAACGGGCAATTTATAGAGATGCACACAACTATTAGATCTATGGAAAAAAAAAACCCAACCTTACAAAGAAATAGAAAGTCAAAATAATAAGATATTACTTTCAACTATTATAACAACAAAATGCTTAAGATTGATAAATTCCATTTCTGATAACTCAGAAATTATCATAGGTGATGGAAAAAATAACTGGTGTAACTTTCTGAAGAAGAGTTTGGCAATATCTATCAACATATAAAAGTAAACATATATACAATAACACATATAAGAATAAAAACTTGGAAAGAATCTAAGTACCAACAATAGGGGACTGGTAATAAAAAGTAAAGCACATCTACCCAATAAAATATATAATGCAGCATTAAAAAGACTGGGCATATGCCATCACAGAAAGATCACCAAGGTATATTCATTGAAATGAGACAAGGCACAGAACACTGTTTATAGGAGGATTCTATCTGTATTACTATAATTTTAAATGATATTATAAAATTTATTTTTTTACATATAAAATTTTCTCTAGGAACATATATAAGAAGTTGCTAAATAGGGGTTATTTCTAAGGATTAGACTAGGTGTAGGATGGAAGGAAATTGGGTAGGATGGGGAGAGAGTTGCCTTGTATATACATGAGTATTTTTAAAAGAATTCCTTTTATTCTGACAGATATCATCTCTTTATCAACTCATCATCAACTCACAGTCTTCACTCTAAACAACAAAATTCTCTCATATTTTCTCTTGTGGTTTGCAACCCAAGAAAAGAATGTTCTTCCCCACCCCTTTTTTCCTACCGTAATTCAGCCTTTTCAGATTCAATCTGAAGAACAGCCATTGTTCTTTCATAATTCTTTTCAGGGCAGTCAAAGAAAGTACGAGCAATCCATCTTGATATAGGATGCTGCCAGAGAAAATTTGTTTGAAATTAGACAGTTTCTGAACATTACTTGGCTTTTCTAGTTGATTATTCTTTAAAATGGCCTTCTCAGATACACTCGTAATACCTACTATATATCAACCATTTTATATATATTTTAAATAATTTCAATCCATTAGGTAGATACTATTTTTGTCCTCATTTTAGAGATGACAAAATTGCACAAATTGTGCAGCTAAGTGGGAGTGTCCAGATTCTAACCAGGTGTGCTTGACTCCAAAGCCTGTGCTCTCTCATATTACACTATGCATAGGTATGTGAAGTGGTAGATTCAGGAGGAAAACCCAGATTTTGTTGATCCCAACATGAAGCTCCTTCCACCAGCTGCCAAAGATAAAACTAATCTCATAGTTTCCCTTAAGATTTAAAATGAAACACTGCTTTTCTAAAATATAATTCATTCAGACAATAAAATGAGGCATACTCTATTCAAAGTCATCTCACTATAATACTTGTAAAGACAAGTAATAGGTTAATTCTGTCTTTTGGATATAATAACTGTTTGGTATAATGACTAACAGTGTAAGCTCTGGAGTCAAGCTTAATGGGTTCAGTAAGTACTGGCCTCCTCTCTCAGGTTCTTAATCTATGAGTCCCAAATTTTTAATTTTGTGAATATTTCAACAATATTGACACAGATGCATTAAAATAGGCTGGAAATCATAATCTGAAGCTCATATTATTAATAACATTATATTATCATCATACAATTATATAATTATATATTATATGCCATATTTAACTTTTTATAGGTGTTTCACATCTGGGACAATGGGACAAAATGTGTTAAGCCTTTTAAACCCAAATTTTCTCTTCTTTAACATGAAAATAATAACAGTGTCTTTTACATGGAATGAGAAAATATTTGTAAAGCAGTATAGTGCCTGCTACACAGTAGGTGCTCAACAAAAGAGCTATCATTAGCACTGGTAATAGCTTTCTTATGGCACTGAACTTAGAACAAATTCTGTTATTTTGCTAGATTGAGAATATACTGCAGACAATTCTTTAAAAAGCTATAAAACTTAAATTAATAAAAGAAACAATAAAGGAATATACTAAGAACAGTTGCTTGAAATTGAATATGATAAGTATAAAGATACCAAACAGAATTTCACTTTAATGTACAAGAAAGGAAGTTTAATAGAGTAGAGGAGGGATGGGGGAAGGAGGAGGAGAGAAAAAGGGAAAGGGATGGGGCTCAAAATCAAATTTCTTGCATGTATAATTTTATCAAAACAAATACCAAATGTCTTCTTTGATATAATGAGAGCAACTATGAACAGAGCAAGGAGGAAGAGCAGGAAGAAAAGACTAACATTAAACAGAGTCATGAGATGGGAGGGAAAGGGAGAGAAAAGGGAAATTGCATGGAAATGAAGGGAGAACCTCATTGCTATACAAAATTACATATAAGAGGTTGTGAGGAGAATGGGAAAATAAACAAGGAGAGTAATGAATTACAGTAGATGGGGTAGAGAGAGAAGATGGGAGGGGAGGGGAGGGGGGATAGTAGGGGATAGGAAAGGTAGCAGAATACAACAATTACTAATTGGGCATTATGTAAAATTGTGGATGTGTAACCGATGTGATTCTGCTATCTGCATTTGGGGTAAAATTGGGAGTTCATAACCCACTTCAATCTAATGTATGAAATATGACATGTCAAGAGCTTTGTAATGTTGTGAACAACCAATAAAAAAAATAAAAAATTAAAAAAAAAATGAACCCAATTTCTATGTACAATCATGATGTTTTAATAAAAAAATGAATAAACAAAAAATGGAATATGAAACTTTATCATAATTTCCATATTTAGGGATGTTAACCAGCATGTTGACAAGTACCTTAATGTAATTTTTGAAAAAATATTTTTGTAGTTATTGATGAACAGAATGCCTTTATTTTATTTGTTTTATGTGGTACTAAGGATCAAACCCAGTTCCTCACATGTGCTAAGCAAGCATTCTGACACTGAACTACAGCCCCAGCCCATTAACCTAATTTTTAATGACCTATACAAACCTTATAATATTCCCAATGTTCTGGGATATAGCCTTCTGGAATTTCTGCTAATTCAGCTTCACCTAATAAGAGAAAATGATGGTGGTTCAACTTCAGCATTAGGAATTTAAAATATTAACTCTTCACCAATAAAGAAACCAACTTCTTGTAGGTTTAAAGGATCTTTTTATCTTTTTTTTCATTTGTAATAAAGATCTAATATTCTAAATTCACTTTAAAATTGAAAATCCATTCATTATGGATTTTTAGATGTATTCTGAGTATAAGGCATTACCTATAAGCATTATATGAGAGGTTCCAATTTTGTTTTTATAATACATAATCAGATACTATAAAAGACATTTTTTTTTTTTTGGGTCCTCTCTATGAGACAAAACATTTTAGATTCAAGGTTTTAGAAGCACTCTGAACAGATTTACCATGAACATCTGATGTCTACTGTCATTCACACTTTCATGTATATTTTAGAGGATTTATAGGTTTATATATTTCAGAATGGATTTGAAAAATTCTCTCTCTCTTCCACCTCTTTTTCTTTTCGTATTCAGACTTATCAAAGCTAGTTTTGGGAAAGGAGAAGGAGAAGAAAAATGAGGTTTTCAAAAGCCTCCTACATGGCCATAAAATTTATAACCTTCAAAGTTTCTGGAGGGAAAAAGAAATGTGCTAAAAAATAATATGGTACATTATTGTAGATTGAGATTTTGTTATTTAAAAAAAAAAAGACATACTTATCTTACTGAGTTTTTCATTATAATACTCGTAAAGTTTACCAATTTCATGGTGTTGGCTAGAGGGGAACTTACCAATAAATACATTCACCAGAGTTATGCCAATTGCTACTGGAAGCCCAGTCAACAAAATGTAGAATCTCTGTTAAAATTAAAAAAAAAAAATAGATATTTCTTACAACCATTTTCAATTCTTCCCATCCTTCAATTATCTTCACAATTCCCTTTATTTCTTATGAAATAAATTTGTCAAACTGAAGAAACAGTATCAAATTTTTAATTTCTGTGATATTCTTGGGTTCTTGCCTTAAGACACCTATATTTAATACCAAAAATGAAAGAAAAAAGTAAAGGTTAATTGTACAAGTATAATACAATATATATTTCAGTGTCTTTTCACTTTTTGGTTAAATCAACAACATGAAAGTTAGAAAATTCACTATTAAGAGTAAAGTGTAAAACACATTAGTGTGATTTCAACCACTGAACAGGGAGGGTTTGAGATGGTCATGACAAAAAAAGGGGGCACTCAAGAGTTGGGATATAGCTCATTGGTGAAGTTCTGGCATAGCATGCTTGAGGTCCTGGGTTTAAACCCCAGTACCACTAAAAAACATCATGAACTATTTTGCCAGGTATGTTGGCACATACCTGTAATCCCAGCAACTTGGGAAACTAAGGCAGGAGGATGGCAAATTCAAGGACAGTCTCAGCAACTTAGCAAGATCAGGTGTTAAAATAAAAATTTAAAATTAAGGGGCTGGGGTTGTGGCTCAGCATTAGAGCGCTCACTAGCAGGTGAGGTTCAATCCCCACCACCACCATAAAAATAAATAAATAAAGATATTGTGTCCAACTACAACTAAAAAAAAATATTAAAAAAAATAAAATTAAATTTAAAAAAATGGGCTGGGGATGTGGCTCAGTGGTTAAGTGAACTTGGGTTCAAATCCCTGGTACCAAAAAACAAACCAAAAAAAAAGGAAAAGCAGGAGTTTAACCAAGGGGATGAAAAGGGACATTAAGCACAATGGGAGGGTAACAGAGAGTCTTGAGGTAGCCAGAACTCAAGTGATGAGCCAAAGCTTTAGAAACGATGGCACACAGTCCAGATAATCTCTCATTTTTCTATGCCTCTAGTTTCTTTTAAAGCCTTGAGATACAAATAAACAATCAGTACCCTAAATAAGTGATTATTATATTATTGCTAAATTAAGATTAAAGGTCAACATCACTCTGAAATCAATGTTCTCAAACAACATATAAATTTTAAAAATCATATCCTCAAATAATAGATCTCTTTTATTAAAATAAGTTCTCTAATGAATTCTTTGGTAATTTAAAGGATATTTTAACAATACAAAAAAATCCTCTCATCAATCAATTTTTGAAGTTTTGTCAATTTTCACATTTGTCCCTTCCCACCCATTGCCCTCTTCTTTCTGGTGGGATGCTGGGTTCAAATCCAGGGCCCGCTACAGGCTAAGCAGGCACTCTACCACTGACCCACACTCCCAGTCTTGCAGATTCTTTTTTACTGTTTAAGTAGAGAATACAAATTAGATTACAAAGCCTCATAATCTTGAGAAAAAAGGATTGGCTTAAGCTTTACCTCCAATTCAGTTTGATTGCTAATTTAAGAAGAAATTTAGTAACAAATAAGACTTTACTGCACAATCTCATATCTTCTGAGGAAAGAAATATGAATTTGGCTGGGCACAGCAGCACATGCCTGTAATCCCAGTGGTTCAGGAGGCTGAGGCAGGAGAATCACAAGTTCAAAGCCAAACTCAACAACTTGGCGAGGCCCTAAGCAACTCAAAGAGACCCTATCTCTAAGTAAAATATAAAAAAGGACTGAGGATATATGGCTCAGTGGCTAAGCATTCCTGGGTTCAACCCCTGGTTCCCCCTGAGTTTGCAGAATCAGATCTTTTACAAAATGAAGATGTTTTCTAAAGAAGCAGATTTTTTTCCTCCTTGTAGGGGAAGATTTTAGTTCAACAAAAACTTTCAACTCACCAATAATTTCAAAAAACGCTTGTCATAATATGAAGAAGGTTTGATGATGAACAGTCTTTTCCCATGGTCTGCACTGTGTCGCACAGGAGCTGGAAATATTAAGTTATCCTGTTTTATACAAGGTTCATTTAGGAATACTGTTATGTTATGATATAAAACCGAATTATAAGAAAAATACATACATAAATGTTTAATGAATTAAGATTTAAAAATGCTTTTTAATTTTAGTACTAAAGCCAGGGCAGATAGAATACATATAGTCCTAAATTACAGGTCTCTCCTTTTTTTTTTTTTGTGGTGGTGGGGACATAATGCAGGACCTCATGCATACTAGACAAATAATCTACCATGGCACAGCAACCCTCATTTTAATTCAATGTTAAAGAAATACTGAAACATCATTTCAAATTGTTTCAATAACAGGCAGGAAAGTCAGATTCTCTGGATGAGCTGCTCATCTTTGTCTCCTCTGCAATAAATATTTGCTAATATTGCAAAAAAAATCTTAAAATTGTGCTATTTCACATAATAAGGTAATATACATTTAGGAAGTTGCTGCAAAATAGGTGCAAAGGAATATCAGTATTTATTCAATGAATTTCCAAGCGGGAATTCAAACTTGCTACAAAACCATATCTCTACCTTGACAAAATCCGTTTGTAAACCATTGCGATTAAGAATACCCTCCTCTTCAACCCCTACCCCAGCCCAGATGGAACTTAAGAAAGCCTTGTTGGAGATAAACTGAGACAAAATTTCACACCTAGGTCCTCTTTCTACACTTCCTGTTTTGGAGGTCTGCAAGGATCACTACGGGTATTCCAAGCCTTACTAAGAAACAGTGTTACTATGGTTCTGCTGTGTAATTGCTCTTAAATTCTGAATGAGAGTCACTGTAGAATAAAAAATTTTAATTTCCCACGAAAGGAATTTCAGTCATAATTGATGTCGAAAAAATCTGTATTTCTGGTTTACCATTTACTGTACAGAATACCCTCTTTTCTCCTAAAATCTATCCTTTATGCCCAGGTGACATTATCTTTTCCAAGAAGTCAGTAATGCCCCCAATCAGATAAGATCTCTGCTACTTCTGAATTGCTGTCCATCTTAGTCATGTGTTCCCTGTTGTCCTGGTTTCCAGGACCTGTGTGGATGCCAAAATCTGCAGTTCCTCAAGTCTATTACATGAAATGGCATAATATTTGCATATAACTTGTGCATATTATTTCACATATTTTACTCTAGATTATTTAGAAACCTAATACAGTGAGTGTTATGCAAATAGTCATTATGCTGTATTAATAAGGGAATAATGACAAAGAAAAAACCTATATACATATTTAGTTACAAATGCATTTTTTTCCTGAATATTTTCAACCCATGATTGGTTAGATCTGAGATGCAGAACCATGCTTATAGAGGGCTAATTGTATTTGCTTTTACTACTACCACTTTTGATTATAAATGCTTTGAAGACTGAATCCATCTTAATTTGGTATTACTTGCAGTATCTTGCAATGAACTTAGGATATTAATTAACTCACAAAACAATGAGAAGTTAGCAAGAATTTACTAAATATAATAAAATAACAAGATTAAGAGAACTTGGCAACATAAACATGGATTCCAGCAAATCATTTGAGAGATACCATTAGGGAATTTTAAATTTTTTAATTTGTTCTTTTTAGATATACATGACAGTAGAGTACATTTTGACATATTATACATACATAGGCTATAACTCCATTAGGGAATTTTATGATGACAATAGGTTGGATGATACCACAAACCACTCATTAATTCACTAAATATTTAAGTGATTACTATGTGCAGGTCCTAAGCTAGGCAGAGGGATATGGATCCTGCTGGGATAAAAGACACTAAACAATTATAAATCTATGAGTGCAACAAAGGAAAAATAGCAGTAAAAAAGAACAAGCCCTATTCAGACAGGATGGTGGGACAGGGGTGAGAGGAAGGTATATTATAAGTTGGAAAGGAGCAAGTTAGATCAATTTGTAATAGGTAAATGATTGATCTATTGATGAATTAGACATAAAAGATGATGATTAATTAATAAAGTAACCTAACAAAGGGATCTCTCAAATGCCCTGCAGCATGAAGATTTTTATGAATGGAATGGGTGAAATAGACATTCCTGGCTTTTTGAGTCTTGGAAACAAAGCTACTGTTACAAAATGGCTATTACACTGATGATGAATTAGTCTCCCCAAAAAGTCTTCATATACATTTACAAAAGGCTGGATCCAAAAGGCTCAAGTACAACAAGGTAAGAATAAAGTAAATGTAAAGTCCTATGTCGATGCCCCCCAAAATATAATTGCTCACACAAAAAAAAAAAAAACCAACAAAAGCCAATTCAATGTTAACCTGATGTACTAGAAGGACAGGGTCAAAACATGATAATCCTTTCTGCTCCTTATCTCCCAACTACAGAAGTTTATCCACTCCACAGCATATTATTTTATAGGGAAAATCTTGAGTTTCCCCTAACTTAAATCAACCAGATGGCAAACAACTTGGAAACTGACCTCATGAAACTGAATGAACTCAAGTTAATTAGCTTACAATAAAAGAAGTCTGGATAAAGACCAGATAAATGTTTTTATGGAGCTCAAGAGCTGTCCCATGTAAGAGAACGTATTCAATTCTGTGTTGACATGAAGGGAAGAACTAGGCTCAATGTGTGAAAGAATAATTCTCAGCTTGATATGAGAAGGTTCTAAAACTGTAGACCTTGCAGAATTGTAGACAGTCTTCACCCATTCCCCATTACAAAGTTATGTAAATAACAATAATGGGATATAACAAGAACTAGCACAATATAGGGGTTATCCTCAAGGAATTCTGTTTAGTCTAGAGAATCTGAAATATATGATCTAAGAATAAACAGGTATGCTCTTCTAACTCATCTCTCAATACTTCCCTTCCAATTTCAGGAAATCTCTCCTACCTTCAGGTTTTTGCACGTTCTTTCCCCTCTGCCTGGAATGCTTTTCCCTATACTGCCTCCACATATCATCCTTCAGGGCTAACATCAAGTGTCACTTCCTCAGAGAGGTCTTCTCTAACAGCCTCATCCAAAGTTAGTCTCCCACTTAATACCTTTAATATCATTTGGTAATTTCGTTTAGAGCAAGAAGCACTAACCCTAGTTATCTTTTTTTTTTTTTTTTCTTAAGTCCATTAGGTTAGGCATTGCCTATTTTATTCAGGCCTGTATCCCTAGTATTGGTACCTTTAGTGTCTGCAGCATGGTGGGCACTCTATGATTATGACTGAATTTACTTTTCTTAAGTAGATTAAATGCTGGTAGAGAATTTTTCTTAAGTCCCTGAAAATACTCTACATTTACTCAGAAAAGATAGTGCGCTCCTAACTTTCCCTTTTAATCAAAGGGAAGGATTAAACTATATATGGTCTTAGGGAACATTACTATAAATGATATGGAAAAATGGAACACTAAACAATGGAAGAAAGCTTGGTATGGTTGCATTATAGTAATACTAATGCAGTTAACAATGTGAACTGCTTACTCTTTCTTTACAAATAACTACCTACCTAATTGTTATATAATTATTCATGCCATTAAATGTGCTAGATAACTGTTATTATAATCAATTATTCTACAGTATATTTCATAGAACTAAACTCTTTTCAAATGTTATGAGCCTTCATGATCATGTTATGAGTCATTGATGCAGTAGAGCCATTTGCTAACATTCTAAAATTATTAGGATGAATATGGCTTATAACCAAGTGACTCCCAGATTTCTGGAACTCAGTTCCACCTACCACAAGCATCTTCCACCACTCTCCAAAACCTGAAATTTCTCAATTAGGTATTCATTAATTATATAAGCCTAACTCTTCGAAAAACAATTTTAAATATGCACATAGCCTCAGAAAAGTTATTAAGTCTTTGACAATTCTGATTTTCTGAATACTATAATGAAGGATCTTTTTGTGTGTGTTTCAAAGACAACACTCAACAAATTTAAAAAAAAAAACCCACAACACTCAAAATTTGATCACTTTTTTCCTCCTCATTCTCAGGTAAGGGCACTATCAAATACCCAGGCTAAAAATCTCAAGTCGTCTTCCTTGCATCTACTGCTCATTTACCATTCACTAAGACGTCTTGATTCTAAGATTCAAACTCTCCAATACCTTCAAAGCCTTCTTTACCCTAATGACCTAAGTAACCGACATCTCCTATGAGCCATCTCCTACAAAGCATCTTTCTAAAGATGCTTACTGATGTAGCTTCTGCTAAAGTACTCTCTGTTATCTACAAAATAAACTGAAGATACTTGGTTTTGTATTTAGACCTTTCCCTACCTTCCCCTAATTTGATCCCAACCTCCCTTATTTTAACCTTCTTTCTCAACATCTATTCATCCCAAGAGCCCCATATCCAAGCACATCAGAAAACTCACCCACTGTACTTCTATCAGTCTCACCTGTTAAAATGATTCCCACAATTTAGTTAAAATAGTCGATATTGTTTTTATGAATTAACTCACGAACTTTGTTTATGTAGCTGTTAGTCAGCTTTCAATTACTGTAACAAATATCTGAGATAAATTAACTTAAAAAGAGAAAAGGGGGCTAGGGCTGTAGCTTATTGGCAGAGCACTTGCCTAGCACTCATGAGGCACTGGGTTTGATCCTTGGCACCACATAAAAATAAACAAATAAAATTAAGGCATGCTGTCCATTTACTACTAAAAAAGAAAAATTTAATCCCTGTAATCCCTGGTTCATAGAGTCCAGGGATTACAGAACATGCTGAGTTGGCCCTGTTCCTTTTGGGCCTATGGCAAGGCAGAACCTTATGGTGGCAGCACATGGTGGAGCAAGAAGCATACTTCCTAGAGATCAAGGAACCAGAGAGGAAAAGTATTGAAGTCCCAATAGCTCCTTCAAGGGCATACCACTGAAGACCTAAAGACTTCCCACTAGATGCCACCTCTTAAAGTTTCCATTCATCACTTCCCCAAAGTGCCACAGCTGGGGACCAAGCCATTAACATATAGGCCTTATCCAAACCAAGCATTATCCACTTTAATACTCTTTACATTTTTTTCAAACCATGATTTGCTCATGCTGACCTTTAAGTTAAAGTTCCTTATAGCAAAAGGAAGGCCTAAAGCTCATCTTTGGAATTCCTT